TACAACCCTCGTATATATATATATATATATATATATATATCGCAATCGCAATCGCAATCATTTCAGGGACAATCACTTCATCTACAGACCATCATCGACTAGGCCATTTGGTCGACAGGCCATTTCCTTGACAAGGTTATTTCATCGAGAGGCCATTTCGTCGAAAGAGTCATTTCATCGGCAGGGTCATTTCGTCAATAGGGTCATTTCGTCAATAGGGTCATTTCGTCAATAGGGTCATTTCGTCAACAGGGTCACTTCATCGACAGGGTCACTTCATCGACAGGGTCTTTCGTTGACAGGGTTATTTTCGTCGACAATTTGTAGAAAAGGTTATTTCGTAGACAAAGTCATGCCCAATTTTGAAACTAATTTTATACTTCTTTAGATTTTTTTCTTGTCATATTTAACACATTTATTTCTAAGATTAATTTTTAATGTGCATTATTGTTGATTAGTATCGCAAAAGCCATTGCAATAACTATTGTGAATAATTCTTGATGCAGCGAGTGAATGAGAAATTAGCAAGGAAAAAAAGACGATATATAATGAATCTGTGAGATAATGAAACCACTTCGTCGATAGGTCATTTCATTGACAAGTTCATTTCGTTAACAGGCCATACCAGAGGCAAAAATTCTCTTTCGATAAAAAGAAAATTATACTTATATAATGTTTCCCCACAATGAGTAATTCGCATTAATACAGTTTTAAATCTTGTCAAAAAAAAAAAGGAGACAAACTTCTACAATGGTAGCAAAAAATTTAATCAGTAAAACACAAATCTTTTAGATAGTTAGCTAGTAAAATTACTTCTTGTTTTATCAAAAATTATACATTTCTTATGTTTATATATTTATTCTTTCAAGCTCAGTTGATTTTTTTTCTTTCGAAAAAGTGAACCAGACCCTATTATTTGAGCATATCCTAAGTCGGACCCCGATCTAACGAATAAATCAAGACTGAAAATTTACTTCGTTAAATAGGGTTTAAAAAACTTTCTTTACTGTTCAAATATTGCTTTTTGATATGATTGCAGAACTTCCTCCTTCTAAAAATCGCACTGTTAGAAATTTCTCGGAAAAAAATGGTTAAATAACAATTTATTTAAATGTTATTTTACCATATTTAAACAAAACAGTCAGATAATCATCAGTAAGGTTGTATTTAAACTGTTAACTGTGAGAAAAGCCATTTCTTGACTGCCTTCATCAAATACGGTTAAGCAAGTAGAATTTTATAGCATCAAACTAGGCCCAGTTAATAAAGCCGCTTTGATACTTTCAACTGGGAACATATTATAGCCTAGAGGGCCAATCGGCCAATCTCATGACCGACAGAACGAGGTGTGAGTCCTAGTGTTGAGACCACAATCTTTCCTCCTTTCCCTTCAACACATGAAGAGTGCCCATTATCTAACGAAAAGCCTAGCTCCAATGCCCAGTTAATTTTTTTACACTCTTGAAACCATGCTAGTTATAAATGGTTTAAAAACGGTACAGTTTCGTATTAATAGTTTTTTTAAAACTATATTAGTTGTAAACGGTTTGAAAACAGTAAGGGTATAAAATGTTCTTTACAGTAAACTTTACAATTAATTTGATGAACAGATTACTGCTGCTTATTTCACCGTAATTTTGGAATGAAAATTCTAACAGTGCATCTTTTTAAGGTATTCAACTGGTTTCTACACATTTTTTTAAGAAAAGGTTCAATGAAAATTTTAATTTTATGTTTGCCAGGGATTCTAAAATTATGAATTTACTATAAATTTTAACAACTTATGAAATATTTTTCAGCATAAGGGCAAATTTGAGCTTAAAATTTATAAGTTTCTCATGTCTCGCTAACAGCTCTACAACGAATTGTAATGCAAAAATTTCAAAATAATATTTTTCTAGATCAATAATGTGATTAGTGTTTTGAATTGATATCTTAAAAAAAAATTTAAAAAAAAACAATGAAATACAACTTATTGTATCGTTTGATATCAGGTTTTTAAAGAAATATTTCAAATTTTCTTATTTAAAGATTGATAAAAATGGCAAATTCAAATTTAGCAAAGTATAAAGAATTTACACGAAATCAACGTTCTTCAGGAAATGGAATTTAAAATGAAATAAAATTCTGAAATGTAAGAAAATTCTGTCTAAAAAAATTAATAATTCAAAAATTAATGTCTGAATATTAATTTTATTTGTCTTAAAAATGTAATTTATTTTAAATAAATAGGTTCAAAAGCACAAAAAATAACTAGTTTCGTTTACATACAGTATCGTCTGTCAGTATACGAAAAAAAGAGCTGTTACTTTTTCTAAAAATTAGAGATAAAATTTTTTAAGGGATATTGAAAGTTTAAAGATGAATAATAAAAAAAAATCGAAATTTTCTTTGAAATTGCTGGTTTTCACCTCTTCGAATATCTTAATTAAGTTTGTGAACTGTTTTATTTTCTTGGTATTTTTCCTATTTACCATTACTTCTTATTTACCAATAAGTTGAATGGTGTGTATTTTTGAGAAATTTGTAGGAAAAGGTTGGATTTCAGTTTAGCATTCTAAGTTCCGAATTAATAAATTGCATTCAAAATTAGATAAGTTTAAAAACCGTCAGTTATCACCATTATTTTAACTCACTATTTTGTCTAACAAGGTACATAAATTGACATAAAGAAATACTACATTAGTAAATATATACTGTTTTACCTTTGATGAAAGTTTGACTAGAGGAGAATTTCTTTGGCGCATTCTTTTTAACTGTTTGAAATTTTATATCATATGCTGATGGTAAGCCTTTTTTTAAATATGTTGATGTTGATGGTAACTCTTCTTTAGAATATGCTGATGTTGATGGTAAGTCTTCTTCTTCAACATATGTTGATGATAATGCACTATTAGAAGACGCTGATGATTTTCCTTTAAGGAAGAATGGTGACGATGCTTCTCCAACTAATATCCCTGATGATGTAGGCAAATGTTCAGTGTCGGAGTCCTTATTTATGGTTGATGGTTTATACTTTAACTTAGAAAATGGTTCTGATTTGCATGTTGCTGGTTGGGATATACTTCTTTTGTATTTGGCCGTTTTCTTTTTCAAGGGACTTGAATTCCTTCGATGTGGCAAAGTCCTGTCGCTTGTACTTTTATTAAGATTTCTTCTGTGAGAATTACTGTGAGTATTAAGCTGTTCTATTTTATGGCATTGAGATTTACGACTTAATCTATCACCAGCGTTAGAAGTGTCAGGAATTGTATTGTCGAAGCTGCTTTGTGTGGAGTGTCTTCTGACAGCAAAAACCGTTTCAGAGGATTTTCTAATTCTTTCTATTGGCTTTTTAGAAATACGATTATGAACTGAGTGCTGAGAGTTTGAGACGATTGTACTCGATTTATTGGGTTTTGATTGCTTTGATGCTCTGTTAAGATTCCCAAGTCCTGGAACACTATCATCGGAAGAGTTATGGGAAGAATTATCGTTTTTGGTGCTGTTACCTATAAAGTGATCTTCAGCTTTTATTATCTTTTCTAAACCATTCAGTTTCTTCAAACAGAGTTCCAAGTTTTCAATAAATCTTCTCTGATGAGGAACTAATCTAACATTTCTTTTATTATTAATAATAGCTTTGACTGCTGCGACTTCAATGTCACTTAATTCAGGAGCCGTCTCCTTGTCGATGGCCATAACTTTACGGATTACATTTTTAATTTCCTTAACTTTATTTTTTAAACTAGGGGGCAGTAAAGCAGTTAAATTGAGCTTATTTTCCGAACTAGTTTTATCCTCTGCTTTAACTTCATCACACTTTTGTGACATCTCATTCTCAAAATTGGAATCGCTATCGGATTGGCTTTCTCTGGTATTAAGTTCACTGATATCTTCATGTTCAATACTTGCACCTAAGGAAGAAAAAAAAAGCCAATTTTGTTATGCACAAATATCTTTTCGGTAAAATATAGAAATCAGTTATTCTACAAATTATCTAGCTATTATATACCTCAATTAGTTTGATCCGTTAAAGTAAAGTACTAAAAACTTGTTTATTTCTAAAATTACCTAGGTTATTTGCAAAAGTAGTTATTCAACAAATTATCTAGCTATTATATATCTTAACTAGGTAGATCCACTAAAAAGCTAAAAATTTTAATTTCTCAAATTACCTTATCTGCAAACTACTTAGATAATCTGCACAATTCCAACTAGACACTCAAACAAATAAGATCTTTGCTGATCTGCGTTTCTGCTTGCTTAAATTGACAAAAGTTTTTTTTTTCTTTTTGCTATTTAAACAATCAAGTTTCTAGAATCAAACAGCTTATATGTTAGTTGATAGAATCAATCAACAATCCCTTTAGAAACTTATATACATAGAGTTAAATTATTTCAAATATTTTTACACTTCGGTAAATTAAGATAATGCCATTTATTTATTTTTTCAATACCTATTGTGAAGAATATTCAAAGTAAAGAGTAATCTATTAGTACTTATTGTAGTAAAAACGTCTAATACTAATCGCGGAATGAAATATCTAGCTATTTTAGGAGGTACTTTTTAAAATACCTGATAAATATCTTTTTTAATCAAGAATGCATTACTTTAATAACGTTAAAAAATAAAATGAAGTCAACATTTAGGTGAGTGTTTAAGTTACATAAGTTAAGGGGAAAAAGTTTTAAAATGAAGCCCAAAACCTTTTTTCCATGTCATTCCGTGCGTAGTCATTTTTTTAAACCAACAAGATTAACGTATTTAATTCAACAAAATTAATTATTATGTTTAATACAGCAAAACTATAAATTAAACTAAATTATATAGATACATAACAAATCAGGTGAATTTTTAACTCTATATGTTTAAGTTTTGCATATTTCAATTATGCCTCCAAAATTCTGTGAGTATAACAATGAGACTCATTGACCAAAAACTTATTTTACACATTCTTTTTTAAATTTATTAATCATAGGAAAAATTTTCATCTTACTAATTTCAAAATGAACTTAAGTTTAAAACTTTTTAAATTACTATTATTTCAGTCCTGAAAAAAAGCTTCAGTAATGGGAATATTCAGTTAAATCATTTTTAATAAAAATTCACAAATTTTAATTGTTTTTTTACTGGAAACAATAAAAATTAAGTAATATTTGTAATATTTTGCATAATTCTGCTAATGTTAGATAAGAATAGTTGAGCTGAAAAGAGCATTTATCTTTTGTTAGAAACCACATTTAAGCTTCATCTTCACATAACCAGATTTCATACTATTTTAATCCCTTCGTTTTTATTGACCTCAATAATGATTGATTAGCATTTGGTACATTATGATTGATTAGGAGGATTTCACACTTTTACGTTACATTCCATAAGTTCCAGTAAGTAAGTAATTGCGCATGCGCACTAACAATTCTGGTGAAATATTGAACTTGTGTGAACGAAAGTAAGTGATGCAAAATCCTAAGTTAAAAACTCTAAAGTAGTGAAATATCATCTTAACTTCAAGCAAAAAATCAAAACAATAATTTACAATGGACGCTGATTTTATGGAAGCTTAACTTCTTCTAACTAAATTGTATAATTAAAATAAATATTTTCTATAATTTCAAATAATTTAATTAAAAAAAATTCGCTTTTTTATGAACCTAATGCAATAAAGTAACCATTATTTCAAACTGAAACAAATGTTTAATTTTTTTATTAAATCAAGAAACTGGTGTAAAATCACTAAATTCATTTCACATTTTAGAATAACGAATCTTCCATCTTCATTTTGGACTGGCGTTCTTCTTGATCTATCTGTGACATGTTGATGATTCGAAAGTAGGCGTAAACGGAAAACAACATTCAACAACTGTAAATAGCATACTTGTAGCTTTGTAAAACCACGCCAACAAAACGTTAAGATAGAAAAAGTTTTAAATTAAAAAAATAAATAAATAAACAAAATTTAAAAAATACGCTATTATGCGCATCAAATCTTAAGTGCGTAATCTAACGTAAATTTGTGAAATCTCCTCATTCTTTATAAATAATAATTTACGAACTCTTTCACCGTATTTTTTTTATTTCATGTTCGTAGAAGATTTTTACAAATATGTATCAAGAACAGTTTTTACGAAACACCATGCAAAACGAATTATGTCATGTTACTTTGTAAGCAAATCTCATCCATATTTAAAACTTGAATCACACATTACTAAGTTTGCCTCAGACTTAAGAGTCATTATAATGAAACTCTTTTAACAAAGGCACATGGATAACAAATAACATATGGAAAGTGTTTTAGGTGATCACCCGTTAATTAAATTTTGAGAATTCTTTTTAAAAATGAATTTGATAAAGTGCACAGAAAAAGATTAGCAGATTCAAGTGAAGAAGAAACAAAAGCGCTATCGAAATTTTTCGAATCAAGTGAGAAAAACTTTTTACCCCAACTTTTAACATGTCTTAAATTCCTTTACTTAAATTAAATGTTTATTTTGTGTCAAATTTGATTGGTAAATAGTATTAAAGATCTTGCATGATTTTATTTCCTTTAGGATTCTATTAAGATATATTAGTGTAGTACATAAATGATTTTGATTAGAAATCATTTTTTAATAACATATAAAATTAAAGATACATCGCTGTAACAAATTTTGTGTGTTCACAACCGTAATTTAAAATTTTTGCATACTAAAGAAGCTGATATATCATATACAATGCATGCGACACGTTCTGCATGAACTTGATAGTTAAGTTATTAAATCATTAAACGAATATATCTAACGGTATTAATAAAAATAATTATAATAAGGTTATATCACAGAATTACATTATAATATAGATGCAACTATTTTAATTTTAAACTCTTAATTTAAAAAACAATTAAAATCATAAACGTAAGAATAGCTAAGTCAAATAAGAGAAATAAATATTACAAGTAAATTTTTTTATTTAAACAGTACCTTAATGGCATTTTTAATTTTATACTGATAAAATCTAAAAGATATATGAAAACTAATGTGGGAAAATTAGATCTTACCATAAGATTTTCCAGCAAATAAAAATTTACCGACAACAATAAAAAACTGCTACACCAACATTAGATTTTAATATATAAATATGCATATTAAGGGCATTTATGATGGAAAACCTTGTATTAATACTTACAAAGGTTTTGGAAGATGTTTTGATTTGCCGTTGATGTTGCATATGTATGTGCGTTGGACAAGCTCATTTCAGTTGAAGAAGATGAACTTTCTTGCTTGGAGCTCCTACTGGATTTGAAGTTAAGACAGCTTGAACAGCAAAATACTTGCACATTATTACATTCTGATTTGGGATTAGATTCTGGTTTGATATATGTGCTTTCGATCTTGAAAGGGTTTGTGTGATGATTATTAGAATGATCTCTATTAGAATTTTGGGAATCTCTTGATTTTCTGTGTGATCTTATATTAGTTTCAGATAAAGTTATAGAAGCATTGGGTAAACTCTCAGTGCTCTGAAAAGTTGAATATTCTTCCATGCAACTTTTGGAACTATCAGTAAAGCGTAATGCTCTCTGATTATTTGTTTTTCTTTGGTGATCAGATTTTTGATTGGTAAAAGTGTTATCGATCTTTGAAGAATTTGTGGGTGGATCATGAAATTGCCTTCTCTCAGAATTTTGAAAATCGCATGATGCTCTGCGTGAACTTTTATTGGTTTCAGAGGAAGCTAAAGACACATAGGATAAACTATTAGTAAGTTGAGACGTTGAGCAGTCATGTCTGCAGCTGCTGGAACTGCCAGTTGCAAAAGATGAAGAATGGCGCTTGCGATTCCGATCGGAGTTTTGATTGGAGTGAGAGGTCAATATGATGTTGTTTGAACTTGCGTTCGATTCATGTTTATTGCTTTTCATTGAGCAATTATTGGTATAATTAGAAGTAATTGTTCTTATATTATATTCTTCCGCATCTCTAGGGGGAAAATATTCATCACGTTCATCGTAATGGTCAATTCGGTTCAATGGTTTAGTTTCAATTGCTTGTGGAGGAGAATTTATAGTCAATTCAGCATGTTGCTTTGGTACATAGTCTTTATTTTGATCAAGAGAATAAAATGACTGTTCATCATGTACTACAACTTCTCTTAAAGAAGAGTTTGAAAATGAAATATCATAATGTTCGTTGAAATGGTTATATTCAGTTTTAAATGAATGCCTAGAAAACGGCTCAATGGAGTTTCCTGAAGAATTGAAAGCAAATGATGTGTCCTCGTCTTTTCCCTCTGTAATAAAAAAAAGTATTTCTTGTGTTATTATTATCTATAATGTTAATAAAATTAGTGAAAGAAAAAAAAATTTTGTTGGTACCCAAACATTTTATTATGTGCTACTTTTCTTTTTAGAATTTCAAAGTTCTAAATATTAAAAAGGGAGCAAGAAACATTATTCTCGTAGTTTTGACTCCAGGAACGATAAAGTTTGAACAAATATCAATCATTAATTAATTAACTTAAATTATCAATTAGAGTTGGTAACGTTGAAATAAAAAATAGTTCCAAAACATCTCGAGTAGCACTGGGGAACAAATTTTTTGTTGCATTTATACAGATACTTGATTTTGCTTAATTTGAGTGTGGGAATTTCAAATCTGAAATTATTAGCTTCTATAGCTACAGTGTTTTTTTAAAAGGATATTTTTAGTCTTTTTTTTGTCGAAGTTTAAAAACGTTCTATAACAGGGTTACATAAACGTCATAGAACAGATTTAAAAACTTTGCACATTAATTTTTAACAGTGTCCAATAACCAGAATTAGCTATAATAGTACAAACGTTAAATTCTTTTGGTAAGAAATTAAATATATTTATAAACAAAGTTTTGGGTAAAGAAAAAATAGTTTATGTTTTCATAGTTTAGTTTCCCTCCCTAGTTTTGTAAAAGTATATTTATAAATTAAGTATTAAAATGTAAATTGTTTTTTTCTTCTTCCTAATTTGTATGCAATTATAGACACAGCATTAGCCATATTTGGTTTAGGTATTATAGTTAAAAAGGAGAAAAATTAAAAACTACAAACTGTACCAACTAGTCCCGTTTTACCAAAAATATAGAAAGGAGAAGTCTAGCTCTTCTTATACGTAACTAATGCGGGAAACTGCTTGGTGCGGTATGCTATAACAGAAAAACAAATTACAGGGTGAGCAACATACTCAGATTTAGCAGAGTATCATATGTACTGAGATCCAGCGTTTGCGCATTTTATTTTATTTTATAACCGCCGTTAAACAGACGATCAATTTATTAGGTTTACGACAGCTAATGTTCAACTCCGTAGCTTTTCAATTTTGAACTCAATCCAGAAGACAGCGGAAATCCTGGATCAAGTATTGGGAGAAATTGGCCTCTGTGGAGGACTTTTTGATGGAACTAACCCGCATTTGTATTACATGGAGAAGAAAACCGTGAAAACCTTCCACGGTTAGCCTGACCGCAAGGGGACTCTAACCCCATATCAGTCTACCACTGAGGATAATTATATCAGCAATGTGGTCAGTGCAAGCCGGATGCGGAATTCGTATCGACCAGCCATAGCTGGGATTCGAACCCGGTTCACCTCATTGGAAGGCTCTATCCCCTGAGCCATGATGGCTCAAAAGTAAAGGGCAGGCACCGGCGAGATTCGAGCAAACTGCTCATGCGCATTTTATATCCGTCGTTGAACAGCTGACCCAATTTTTGGGTTTACGACTACTAATGTTCAACTCCGTAGCCTTGTAATTTAGAGCCAATCCAGAAGACAAGGAAACTCCTGGATCAGTACCCCCAGAGGTTTTGATTTGTTATGGGAGCATATGGAAGACTTTGCGACTCGACGGATTTAGCGTGCATCAGTCACCATTTACTACACGGGAAGTCTTCGGCCGGCGGGGATTGAACTCAAGAACTCTTGGGCATGGGGAAAACTAATGTGGGAAAANGTATGGAAACAGTGAAATGTTCCGCGTATTGAAAAAAAAATCGAATCAAAAATCAAAAAATACGCGTGTAAAATATTTTCAAAAGATGCATTCAAAGATATGAAACTCTAACCCCAAAATCTCCACCTGGCAATCGAGCGGGAGTAACTTCAAAATCTCAAATAGGAACCGCCATTTTCTGATTGAAGATTTGGATTCTCCAGAAGAAAAAAAAGCATCCCAATTAGACCTTCGAGATTTCTTATTACGGTTCACAGGTAATACTCTAACTGCGAATGAAAATGATAGGGTAAATGTGTGAGCAGTTTTAATCAATGTGGATGATAATATAAATGTATTTTCAAAGAATTATCTTAATTCATAGTCCAGTATTTATCAAAAGCGTAAAAATGCAAAACAAAATAAAAATAAAGTATTTTCCTTCCCCTCCCAATCTTTCCTCAATTTCAGTTGTGGTTGAAAGAAGAGTTAGTGCTAAATCGTTTCAAAAACCTATGCTGCTGTGTCTCTAAAAGCTGTTTTTTCCCCTTTATATATAAGGGCCGCTCCAAACCTTGGGGTACTGGTTTACATTATGTCTATGGAAGCTAGCCTTCTTCACCTCTGTATATTCATTGGTTTTATCACCCACAATACACTTGCTGTATAGAATGGCTGCAATACGAGTGTTAGTTAAAATGAATTGCTAATTTTAACTATAATATTACCTTTCATGTTATGCAAAGTATCCAATTGTGTTTTTGGAATATTCGATGACAAACGTTCAACCGAAGTAGATATTGTTTGTTGGACTCCATTGTTCTCATTTCTACTGATCGTTGGAAATGATGAAACAGTGGGTTCTTTCACATCTGGTCTATCATTTTTTGCTCTAATTGACACCCAATCTTGACCACTCTGTGCTCCAGTCCAATAACAAGGATCATCTCTATAAGTAACATTGTTTTGACTACTACTGTTGATATTACACACTTCATCCCACTCCTGTTTTTGTTTCATTTTTGTATAAAGTAAGTTTGTTCCATCCACTCCAGAAGTGTGGCCTCCTGAAATATTAAATGATTGTCAGAATTGATATTCAATATTTATTAAACGCAACCGGTATTCAGGCTTATTCGATACATAAGAGACATTAACAATTACAATAAGTTAATACTTTTGACATAAATACTGCAATTAATGAAAGCATAAATTTGTGTGGTTAATTATTTAACCAATTGCTGTCCAAGAAAAAAATATTTCAGGCGTTACAAATTTAGCCGAATTAAATACTATCGAACACAGATAAGATAAGTTTAAGTTAATTAAAGACGTTTGTGTCTGAAGTAAGAAACAATTTTTAATTTAAATATAAATTAAAAATATAAAAACTAATTATTTGATAAAAACTAATTATTTGAACAAAACAAAATATTTGAGTAGTTAAAATTGCATGCAAGTTTCAGTGCTACATTGGAGGATCATATCCAAGCAAAATATAGAAAAGTGGCGAAGTGCATTACTCGTACATTACTCGTGTACTGTAACATGACGTAACAAACAATGTTTTTTCTTAATCATTTTTGATCCAATGGAGGTCATGCTCCAATGTAGCATCGAGACTTGTATGCGATTTTAATTACTGAAACATGTTGATTTAGAAACTTTGACATTGACTTTCATCTTTAATAACAAGTAAGTTTACAAAAAGATTTTAAAAGATTCATAATTTGGAACTGATATTCACCGTTGTGGTGGAAGTTAGACAAATATTTTAATAGAAAGAGGATGAGATTTAAACAGTAAGTATGTTAACCCCGAAATTGAAGAAGTATAGAAAAGCTTAGCTTTGACTCGATATGCCTTATAAAAAAAGATCAATAACAGGGGTCTGTTTAGAAGAAATTTGAGTCCGTTAACGGACCCTTCACAAAATATGTTTTCATAAAAACAGACACTTCACAAAATATTTTAACTTAAAAACGGACCCTTCACAAATTTGTTTATCTTCATTATTGTTTTGTTAATTGAATATACCCTTCCCAGAGCAGAAAGCAAGAAAGATGGATGTAAACGAATTAAGTTTTGTCTTCGGCAGACCATTCTTCCATTATTCGTCCGAAATGAATATTCTGCGTTCAGCAGTATAGGCTAAATACCAAATATTTGTATGTTGCATCTCTAATTTAGAATTTTTGTTTATTTTTGAAAATTTAAATTTTTTTTATTATAATTTTACAGTGCTGAGCATAATCTTGTATCTATTTACAATTTAAAAACTTCTTGAAAAAGTCTTTTGCAATAACCGGACCCTATTTGCACAAGTTCATAAAAGCAGGACCCTGGTTGAAAGAATGAGAGTAATTTTTTCACAATTTCACAAAAACCGGATCTTTCACAAAATGTCTGGACAGACCCCTGGATAATATTTCTCAAACAAACTATTCATAAAGGAAAAAAAATTACATAAAAATTGTTTCAATATACGTTATTTAAACAAAAACAAAACAAAAAAAAGAAATACTATAAAATAGCTCAGAAAATTCGCCTGCGAAATAAATTTTCCGGTTTTTCTGATATTTTTCTCAATTTTCTGAGTCTAAGAAAATAAGACCTATTAAGACACTTTTATAGAATAACATTTTATTTTACTGCAAGAACTTGTGTCAGCTCATCAAGATTCGAAAGAGAGTTTTACCATAAGTCTTTTAGGAAATAGCCTTTTGGCATAAAACATTGTTTGAATTTCCCATCAACTTAAAATATTAATCAATTTGTAAAGATAAGAAAGTGATAAATACTTTGGTAAAGAATATCTGAGGAATAACCTTGACATTTCCCGGTATTGATAAGAAAGCTAAACTAAATTTGTATCTGAACAATTGTTTAGTATGAAATGCAAAATGCAAAATAACTTGTGTAATCCAGAGACGAAAATGTTTCTGATAAGTAAAAAGTAATCAGGTATTCATAATAAACAATTTTTTAGTACAAATCACTATCACTGGCACGAACTGTTTTTAATCTGACAAACTAGCCTTATTTTTTAGATAAAATTTTTTTAATAAATTTTCTTATGCTTCTAGTTCAAAGTTAAAAGGCAGAGCAGCTTACCGTTAGAGGTATTGTTGATAGTGGCAATTATTTAGGGACACGGAGTGCCCGAAAAGTATGGAAACAGTGAAATGTTCCGCGTATTGAAAAAAAAATCAAATCAAAAATCAAAAAATACGCGTGTAAAATATTTTCAAAAGATGCATTCAAAGATATGAAACTCTAACCCCAAAATCTCCACCTGGCAATCGAGCGGGAGTAACTTCAAAATCTCAAATAGGAACCGCCATTTTCTGATTGAAGATTTGGATTCTCCAGAAGAAAAAAAAGCATCCCAATTAGACCTTCGAGATTTCTTATTACGGTTCACAGGTAATACTCTAACTGCGAATGAAAATGATAGGGGTCGAATTTGAAAACATTCGCTTCCTTCGAAAACATTTTCCGTTAATATTTTTAGATTTTTGATCTGGTGATTATTTACAGAGATATTTCCCCGTTTTTACACATTTCGCTATATGTTAATATAACTATATTTCTCTCCAGCTCCGATTTGCTGGAAATGGTAACGAAAAGTGAACAGTTGGAATTGTGGACTGAAAATGGAAAACACTGCAATTCTTACAGAGGGAACAAGAATTTCGGAGTTAACAAAGGTTTCCGTTTAACTCTGTTTTGTACATTTAAGCCAGCAGTTCCCAAATGATGTTTCGCGAAACCCGTGGGTTCCATAGAACAGTTAAAAAAATGTTACTTTCATAACCAGTGGTGAGTTTCGAAACCTCGGAATATATTGCTGGTTCAAAACTAAAGCGACACATCTGTAAGCATAATTCGTTTGCAGATGCGTCGTTTTAGTTTTGAACCAGTGATATTTAGATCCAAACTTCAATTAATAATTTATTTAATCTTGAAAGAAATAAATAGAGTGACCAATTCAATGAAATAGAAATGGCATATTTCTTAAAGGAAATTATAATATTTCTTATAACAATATATTGAACAAACTATAAAAAAACAAGCATTTATAAAATATCCCATTAGTATACAGAGCTTTTCAAATCAAATTAACTAAATTCTTTAATTAAAAAATAATAACCATTATCATTCCATAATAACCATTTTCAAGCAGTTCTTATAGTTTTCTTTTCGAAGTGAACCATAATTGGGCTTACTTTAATCATTTTCAGCTTATGTATATACACCAAAACAAATTAATAACTACACCGGATATAGCACAAGAACTGTAAATTTAACAGTCGAACATGAAATGTAAGTAATTTAAAATTATTAATTCTAAACCAATGAGAGATTTTCCTTCCTCTAATTAAATACTTTAAAAATAGTATTTTTCTCTATATTATAACGTTCACAATTACCTTAATAAACTTTTATTTATCAAGTTAGGGTTCTGAAAAAAAAGTTTGATTATTTAACGTACCGAAAGAAATAAAAATTAGCAACCACTGTCCTAGGCAATACTTTAACCCTTTAATGGGCAATTTATTTCTAGTAAGGGTACATTAAAATACTTTTTGAATTTAGAGGAAAAAATTAATTTAGATCAGTTGATAAAATTAATTTTAATTTTGACAACATTTTTTTGTGGTAAGCATGCTTACTACTACCCAACAGATATTATAAAAAAGTAAGAAATTTAAATACTTTAATATTTTTTTCATTTGTAAAATAAATTTTGTAATTACTCCAAACTGAAAAATGAATTATATATTATAACTTATTTTAAATTAATTAAAAACGGGTAATTAATGGGTAAAACTGGGTAAAAACTGGGTTAGGCATATTGTAACCAATTTTATTCAATATTACTTCATCAGAGGTTATAGTGGTGGTAAATATACTTACCACGGCCTTAAAAAGGGTTCTAAAATATCGTATTAACTTTAAAATATATTCTTTGAACATGGTAGCCAAAACCCAGAAAATCTAACAAGGGGTGACAAAAATTTCATGGAAATTTTAAAGGTTTTAATTTCATTTTTATATTATGATCTAAGTTGAGCAGTTTTAACATCTGGTTATATTTCCCATAATTTACAAATATATTTTGGTTGACAGGAATAAGTAAAAATAATCGTTTCTTCAAATTTCATTAACTCTTCAAATTTCATAAATTTCATTAACTGACTATGTTGTTTCATCTACTATGCAGTGTCAGACATTCTCAAAAATAAATTCTAGTAAAATTTATAAATTTAGAAAGAAAAAAAAGCTATTTTTTAAACATTGAAGTTATTTTCTAAATAGAGAACTTAATTTTTCCTCAAAATAAAAGAGAGGGGGTGAAAGATCTGCTTTGAATCTTGTGAGATTTAGACATTAACAGAATAAAATCAAGTAAAATTAGTAATTTTTTTAAAGCAAAAAAAAAGGGGGGGCTTCTTTTACTTTTTTTCACAGTTTTTTTTTTAGGCGTTCGCAACAATAAAGTCAAGTAAAATTGGTTATTTTTTTTAACAAAGAAAAAAAAACTTTGAGAATATTTTCCAAATAGAAAATTTTATTTTCCTCTTAAATTAAAGTGAGGGGGCGAAGAAAATACTTTACCGCTTCTGATATTCAGACATTCACGAAAATAAAGTAAAATTAGTATTTTATTCCTCCTTTTTTTCAACCTTAAAGCTATTTTTTTTAAGCAGAAAATTTTATTTTCCTCTGAAATTTAATTGATAAAAAAGATAACATGCGTTATCCCTTCTGAAACTTTGGCATGCACTACAATAAAGTAAAATAGAATTGGTAAAAAAAAATTAGAAAAAAAAAAAAATTTTTTTTTTTACTTTTTTTAGCTATTTTTCAAATAATAATATTAACCCCCCCCCAGAGACAAATACGTCTGCATTGTTCAAATTTTCTTCTACATATGACAACTTCGAATTTATTAAGAAAAAATTTTAAAATTAAAATGCACCCAAAAGAAGGGCTCCGCATGAAAAAATAAAACGAGTGTTTAGGAAACTAAGAATTGGAATGGTTCAAATTTGGATAGAGTAATAATAAAATGCATCCTTCACTGACAAATAAATACCTTCAGACCACCAACCCAGACAACTCATAGTTATCTGACCCCTGAAAAAATAACCATCTCCTTTTACAAAATGGGAAAATGTCCTTTTGCTTCTTTAAATTGCCTTATCATTTTTATGCCCCTGGGCTTTTTGTCCTTTTATAAAATGTCATATATTTTACAGAACCATCTATACGTCGTATAATCAGTTGTCTTAAGCAAGATGTAAGCTTTTTAGCGATTTTAAGGGAGTGACTCTTGTTGACATTTACTTTGGTCATTTTATCAAAATGTCATATATTTTACAGAACCATCTATACGTCGTATAATCAGTTGTCTTAGCAAGATGTAAGCTTTTAAGGGATTTTAAGGGGGTGACTCTTGTTGACATTTACTTTGGTCATTTTGACATTTTATCAAAATGTCATATATTTTACAGAACCATCTATACGTCGTATAGTCAGTTGTCTTAAGCAAGATGTAAGCTTTTAAGGGATTTAAGGGGGTGACTCTTATTGGCATTTACTTTGGTCATTTTGACATTTTATCAAGAGACATTTTCTGAGACAAGCGTTCTAATCACTCTCTGTTAAATTACAGCTTTTAGCTCATTTAATTGCATCATTTAAATGAACTATTTTTAATTCAGATATAAATTTTGCGTTAACTGCTAATATAAATATTCTGTAATATAAATGTATTTTCTGTTAATATAAATATTCTGTATTTTGTTCAATTTTTGAAATTTAACTTTATTTGAGATTAATTAAAATTATTTGCAACTGTCTTTTTTTTAAACATAAATTGTGATATCAATAATTCCCATTCTTAATAAAAATTTTCTTTGGACAACAAGAAAACCAAAAGTCAATTTATTTCTAAGGAGGCAAGCAAATAATTGCATTAGCTCATTTAATAAATTTAAAATTGTGTATTTATGTACTGTTAGAATTGTTTTATATGAGCGGTCACATAAAAATTGCTGTTTTTATGTTCGTATATCAAATTTCATTTATATAGTACTTTAGTTCACGATTTTAATGTTTATTGTGTGCATGGATTTTGTTCTTATTTTATATCTTTTAAATTATTAAAACCTTTAAATATTTAAAATAGGAACTTCGAATTTTTTATGCTTTTTAACAACTTTGTTTTCTTTCAAAAATGAAATGCAACCTTTAATTTAATAAAAAAGCTATGAACATTGTTTCGTTGAGAATAACTGAAAAGATGTCATCATTTTAAGTAGTTTAGTTTAAATAAAAAAATCACTGTTTTTCAGTCAATAAAAAATAAAGTTATTCGAAAAAAATATTTTATTTCGTTGTTTCGATAATTCTTTCTACCTTTACGACAGACTTTCTTATATTGCTTCTTTAAGGTCAGCATTAACTTTATTTTATTGAAATTAAACTATATTCAAGTCCTCTGCTTTCATTAACAAAAAAATTTTACATATTGCAGTTTTACATATTTAAGAAGAAAAAAAAGAAAAACTGTCACTTAAAAAAACAGGGAAATAACACGATTGGATTGAGTAATTAATCTTCTTTTAAATTTACTAATTAAAATACTTAATTAAAATTTAATTTCTCAGGATTTACCGATTTCACTCAAATTTTGCATTTTGCCATGTGGAAAACTTACAATATTTTGTAATCCATTTTATATGTGAAGAAGTAACTTGTTTTCATAAATATATTAGCCAACATGATACATAAATAGCTAAAATGACGGTCAGAAATGGAGAACAGAAAGCTTTTGAAAGGGCCCCTGCCAAAAATTTTTACCCCAGGGTCCCGAGAGGCGAAATTAAGGCACTGATTGTAACTTAGTGAAGCATAATGAAGCTGCATTGAAACTAGCAAATACAAAAGAAATGATTGATATATCTAAGAATGCATTGCATCAATCATGCAAAGGTTTTCAATTCTTTCAACATCAGGGGTCTGTCCAGACATTTTGTGAAAGGTCCGGTTTTTGTGAAATTGTGAAAAAATTACTCACATTCTTTCAACCAGGGTCCAGTTTTTATGAATTTGTGCAAATAGGGTCCGGTTATTGCAAAAAACTTTTTCAAGGAGTTTTTAAATTGTAAATAGATACAAGATTATGCTCAGCACTGTAAAATTAAAATTAAAAAAACTAAATTTTCAAAAATAAACAGCAATTGCTGCTTCTAAATTAGAGATGCAATATACAAATATTTGGTATTTCGCCTATACTGCTAAACGCAGAATATTCATTTTGGACGAATAAAGGAAGAAGCGTCTGCCGTAGACAAAACTAAATTCGTTTACATCCATCTTTCTTGTTTTCTGTCCTGGGAAGGGTTTATTCAATTAACAAAACAATAATGAAGATAAACAAATTTGTGAAGGGTTCTATTAAAAGGAAAATTATTTTGTGAATGGTCCGTTTTTAGGTTAAAATATTTTGTGAAGGGTCCTTTTTCATGAAAATATATTTTGTGAAGGGTCCGTTAGCGGACCCAAATTTCTTCTAAACAGACCCTTGAACATTGACGTCAATGACGACTTTAGATTACTCTACACCCCCCCCCCCATTCATATTTAATTTCAACTCTTACTCTTCCATTACCCTAAGAAGAAGAATCCACATCTTTAACTTTGTACTTCGTGCGGGGGGCTGGATTAAATTTATTATTTATATGATACTTATCTTTCAAAATTTGAGAAAACGGAAAACTCTAATAACTCAGTTCTGGAAAGGCTGAGTGTCTCATTTATAAAGCATATGTCAAACAAATATTTGATTTGACAAAACGGGGATGAAGATTTTATTAAACGATGATTTTTAGGGTGTTTTGCTACTGTAATGATGCAGATTTAATTTTTAAAAAAATGGCTGACATAGTCCAGTGTTTTAATTAGTGAAAGTTATTGTACTGGCGTATGAGGAAAAATTGTGTTACTAATCACCCGGCGTACACGCCACGCTCCACAACAACCGAACTGAACTATGCATTTATAATAATGAAAAAGCGTCAATAAATATTACAGTCAGCTACAGTATAATGTTTTACGTAACATATAAAAGTTTATTAAAACATTTTATTTTACGCAAAATGGGGAAGATTTCCGTACCGACCGTGATCTGCGGAAGAATAATCACTGTCTTGGCACCTTCTGGGTAGTGACCCACAAGAAACTTACGAAAATAATAATAAAAAAATAAATAGAAGCCAAAAAACTCGGAGTCACCCTCAAAAAAAACCTCTAACTTGCTTGGTTCTATTTCTTTCTTTCTTTTCCTTCCTTTTTTTTCTTCTCTTTTTTGAAATGAAAGTTTAAAATCCAGTGGGCACCTTGGCGATTATAGTTGACGAGATAGATCATAAGGTTACATCCCCGCAAAATGAAAGAAGAGATTTTATACCAGGTTTTGAACTCATCAACGTGCGTCACCGGTTTTAACTATTCGGAGCGCCTTCAATTGGTTTCTGTTTACATTGGTTTCATTTATTTGCGTCACTCTAGAGCTGCACAAAAGGCTATTGGCGACGGTCTGGAAAACATCCCTAAGTTTGATCCGAAGACATCATAGATACGTCACATCCCGTCTCACAGAGAGGACACATTTATATCCATCCATCCACAGATCGAAATTTTGACCTGAACCAGAGCACTATTACTATCCGATCCAGTACCACCAGTGGTATTCTGTTTACAAAAAATACTCATAGAGTTTTTAACAGCAATTTTAATGATCAAAACAATGTGAAAAAATGCAAGTGATGTCTGTTATGTTCGATGTTATTTATTCAATTTCGCTGTTAATTTTTTTTAATTTAAAACTTAAACCATTTGGTTTGGACAAAAAAAAACAATCAATTGATATAAAACTAAATTGGCTTACCTCTACTAGAAATATCTCTTTGTGCTTCATGTTTATTTGTTGAAGTTTCTCCAAGTGTAGGAATATTGACATTTTTTTCGCATTGGTACTGTCTATGACCATTTTCCATGCATCGTCGACAATATAAAGTCACCTCGAATCTCATATTAATATCTGGGTCTCGCAAAAATTTAGGAAATTCGACATTTTCAGCATCAGAAATCAACAACACAACTCTATAGTTACCTGTAGGTTTAAGTTGATCATTAACAGGTCTCGTTTCTGGATATAAAAGCCAACTCCCAATTTCCCAAGCTTCAATCAATTTTCTCAGTTTGGATTCATTTATTAGTGAATTAATGTTGTGAATTGTTAGGGGTGTCACAAGTAAACGAATAGGGTAATCCACCCCCTTGATGGTCAGACGTCGTTTAGCCAGAACTTTCCTAACGGGATCATATTCAGAGAAAAATATTTTCAGCCCATGCCTACCAAATTCTCGATTCAAAATTTTTTGTGAGGGAATGAATTGATAAATTTCATAAATTGCGTCTTTTTCTAGGCTAATTGGAAGATCCAATATCAAAACACCGTTATCACGATCTAATAACGACATGATATTAGAAAGTAATTGAATTGCTTCTAAAAAATTTCTTACTACAGGCTCAAGCGAGAAAAATATAATATAAATAAATCATCGATTCAACAATTACACTATCACATCTTGAAAAACACATAGTCAAATGAGTCCTAAGGCAGTTCGTGATTTCTTCAAGAAAAAAGTTTATAAGTCTATAGTTTTAATTATAAATAGTGCATAATTATAAAATAAATATCCACCACATTGTTGATGTTGAATCAAAAACATGTTGATACATGTTCAAACGGGTTGTTGATACATGTTTCAAATCGTATAACTTCTTCTTATGGAATTGAACTAATGGCACACTAAATATTTTCAAAAATAACTGAATTAAGGCTTAAATTTTTTATTTATTATTTGTTTTATATAAATCAATAGGCATCACTGTTTTATTGTAAAAAAATAATGTAGACAGCTCGTTAAGATTGTATTCGGAATTCACAATATTTTTGTGATGAAGAAATTTATTGGAAGAAATCTTTCCTTAAGTAGCACAGAACATTTATCTTTTACATTCATTCAAAAGACCTGATTGTTTCGGTGAACTAACACATTATAGAAACACAATAAGTGTATGCATAAATCTATACTATATTTTACAATTCGATCAAAAAAAGGTTGCATATTTCAAATCGTACGATTTCGAATCTTAGAGCTGAACTAACGGCACTCTTAATAATTCCATAGATGTTTGAATTCTCCTTTCCAAAATCTAAATCTGCACTGCTTTATTGTCAAATAAAATATAGACAACTCGTTAATCGAAACTCAATATCTTTTTGTGGCAAAGAACTTCAGAAGAAATCTTTTCTTGGAAGGCACAAATAAGCTTTTATTCTTCCCACTAATTCAGAAGACATTATACTTAACACATAACACAATAAGTGTAGGTAGTCTAGAATTTATCACAATACACAATGATCCATCCTTTGCTGAGTTAAGTCAATTTGGCGATGATCCAATTCGTAGTAAACACAACATCTTGCTAAAGGAATTTTAAAAATCGTACCCTTCAAATTACTATAAAATAAATCACATATTCAACTGAATATTTAATTTTACTCATAAACACTTTCAAAACACAAACGCATGATTTCATCCACAATCCACGCCTTCATTTGAAAACAATCTAATGTTCTCCCACTCGTAACTAACAAGCTCCATCTAACGTGAGGAGACGAAAATAACTACTTTCACTTTCTCCCAGAACTTGACGCTTTTCAGTTTTAGTTCGTATTTCGTCGAGGAAAGCGGTATTACGTAATCATAATTATTAAATAAATTATACATGGCGATTCCTTGATGCGAAACAAAATTCCATATTATTAAAATATAAAATTTACATACGAATAAGCTAAATAAGAGAACACCGCAAGCATGTAACATTCTAATTGGATGATAAGTTTTATCAAAAAAAGATAACTAAAAAGCTCATTGCGCATGCTTCACACCAGAGACGATAATTTATTTTTTTATTATCAGACGCTATTTACCCTCTTCTCTTTTGTAAACCGGTTACAGAAGGAACGTAAAAGTGAGCGATTTGAGAGATGAGGTTTGTATTTAAAAGATTATAGGACTTTCTGGTGAAAATAATACCTTTTGTTTTTACTTTCCGATTTATTGGGTGTTGACAGATGTGCTTTAATGATTATGATTAACTCTGGTATTAAACTATGTATAATAATTTTTTTTTAATCTTTCTTATTTGCTTGAAATTTCTATCTCATTTTTTTTTTAAACATTATCTCGTCGTGTCACCCTACAAATAAATATGCTATCCGCCAATAAATATATATCAACTAATTTTTTGAGGGATTTAAAAGCAAAATAAAGAAAGGAACGATACATGTTTATGAAAAATCTATACCACATATTTTCGAAGGAGTTAAAGAGCAAAATAAGAGATGGAACGATACATGTTTTTTAAAATCTACGCCGCATATTTTCGAAGGATTAAAAACAAAATAAAAAACGAAACGATGCATGTTTTTTTTTAAAATCCACAACAAATATTTTAGAAGGAGTTAAAAGCAAAATAAAAGACGGAAAGATACATGTTTATAAAAATATACCCCACATATTTTCGAGGGATTTCAAATCGAAATAAAGAACGAAACGATATTATGAGATTTTCGTGAAAATCATGTTAGTTTTATTAAACGTTTTACTGGAATCAAAAGTTAATTTATTAAAAAATTTAAATGCAAAATAAAAAAAGAAACGATACGTGTTTATAAAAATCTATACCACATATTTTCGAAGGAGTTAAAGAACAAAATAAGAGATGGAACGATACATATTTTTTAAAATCCACGCCACATATTTTCGAAGAAGTTAAAAACAAAATGAAAAACGAAACGATGCATGTTTTTAAAAATTTACTACAAATATTTCAGAAGGAATTAAAAACAAAATAAAAGACGGAACGATACATGTTTATAAAAATCGACACCACATATTTTCGCGGGATTTCAAATCAAAATAAAGAACGAAACGATATTATGAGATTTTCTTGAAAATCATGTTATTTTTATTAAACGTTTTACTAGAATCAAAAATAAATTCATTAAAAAATTTAAATGCAAAATAAAGTAAAGGTAAATAGATTTTAAGTTCTAGTCATTCTTTGGATACACTNTTTTTTTTTTTTTTTTTTGGAAATCTAACTATCTGACATAAAACCCAATTTAAAGGTTAATATTGAAAAAAATTATATAATAAAAAAATTTCATTCTTCATTCATATTCTAAATCATATCAATTAATAGTTTCATTAATAGTCTTCCTTCAATGTTCGCAATTGCTCATAAAGTTCATTCGCTAATTCTCGGGGTTCTGCCAAAAGAAGTTCGACGGAAGAAAAATAACTGGAAACCACTGCACTATGCTGCACGTCTTACGTGTAATTTATTGATAAAACATTAATGATCAATAAATTACATAAAATAACAAGAACACTTCACTTCATACAAGAACACTTCATACAAAACAATTTTATTATAATAATAAAATAAAAACAGTCATGGGCTGATGCATTTGACTAAACGACTCACTTCAATGACAATTTTCAGAAATATAATCTAAATGAGACAAAGAAATTTTAGGTAAGGCATTTTCAGTATTGAAAATTAAAAACTATAAAATATGTTATATTTTTCAGTCATCTAGTAAGGTGTGAGATGTATAAAAAAGGAAAAGCAAATATGGTTGCAATAGCAATTTTTACATGGGTAACGTAAAAAAAAAGCAATGAAGTAATAAATAACATCTAAAAAATTATATGTCGCAACGGGATTGTATGCAATGTTGTAAAAATGCATCATCCCTAAAACATCAGACATTTATTTTCAGTTTAATTTTTAAAAAAAATTGAAACGCTCACGTTTTCTTCCCAAAAGAGTGCAAGGATTTAAAAAAAAAAATAATCCTAAAGTCCATAACTATCAAAAATTGAAACGAGCATACAAAACTAAATAAACGCTTTTTAATTAGTTTCGCAGAAAATATTTTTTAAGTCAAAAATTAAAATTTACTTTTACTTCATTTTACGCAGTGCTAATACGAAGATCATACTAATAATTGCCTCCTCTGATCTCATCAATAGCCAAACTTTTGAGCTTGTTTAACAGCATATTATGATTGTCATGAGCATATTTATGAGTATTATGATTTATAATAACAAAATATTACACATTAAATATATTAAAAAAAGTTTATCAGAAAGGCATTCTTTTAAAAAAACATAATAATTTTGGCAGAAAATAAAAATCAAATTGATCTTGTCGACGAAATGATAGTGTCAGCAAAATGATAATTTTGGCGAAATAAGACTGTCAATGAATTAAGCTGTCGGTCAAATGATCATGTCGGCGAAGTTATAGCGTCAGCGAAGTGATCATGTTGGTGAAATGGGGAGGCCAGTTAGTTATGAATTCAGATACAATGATACATGTTCATATAATTAATATTTTGTGATATAACTATCTTGTTTCTGCTATATAAATCCTAATAATGAAACACTTGTGTTACCATTTTTTTCTTCCTTGTAAAAAGGAGCCGTCCCTTTAAAAGAACGCTGGACACAAGCGGGTTTTTAAGAAAATAGTTGCTGAAGAAGCATCTGTTTCAGAAATTTTTTTGGACATTCTTTGTTCTTTTTACCCAAAAACAGTGAAATTTTGCACATTTTTTGAGAAATGTGTAGGAATATTCTGAAGTAAAAATGTTTATGAGTTATGTGTTATTTTGTTTATAGTTTATGAGTCATTTTATTAACATTGAAGTTATTTTTCTTCTTCATTTTGCAGCGTGTAATTCAGTTTTGCGAAAACCATAACGAGAGTGATAATTTTTTGCAAGCACGTACTGTTACGTCTTTCCGTCTGGCTAGAGTAATTAAATCTAAACTTTAGCTCCTTGCATACTGATACTGGCACTAAAGGTTACAATTATTTCTTGTCGCAACTAGCTTAAAGTGTACCTCTGTAGATTTCATCTCCAACATATAAATCCTTTGTTCAGGGGGTCGATATGCGGACTGTATTTGCGAATGATTAAGTACNTTAATTATTTAAAAAAATTGAAACGCTCATGTTTTCTTCCCAAAAGAGCGCAAGGATTTAAAAAAAAAAATAATCCTAAAATCCATAACTATCAAAAATTGAAACGAGCATACAAAACTAAATAAACGCTTTTTAATTAGTTTCGCAGAAAATATTTTTTAAGTTAAAAATTAAAATTGACTTTTACTTCATTTTACGCAGTGCTAATACGAAGATCATACTAATAATTGCCTCCTCTGATCTCATCAATAGCCAAACTTATGAGCTTGTTTAACAGCATATTATGATTGTTATGAGCATATTTGTGAGTATTGTGATTTATAATAACAAAATATTACATATTAAATATATTAAAAAAATAAAAAAAGTTTCTCAGAAAGGCATTTTTTAAAAAAACACAATAATTTTGGCAGAAAATAAAAATGATCTTGTCGTCGAAATGATTGTGTCAGCAAAATGATTGTTTTGACGAAATAAGAATTGAGTTGTCGGTCAAATAATCACGTCGGCGAAGTAATTGCGTAGGGGAAGTGATCATTTTGGTCAAATGAGGCGGTCAGTTAGCTTTAACTTCATATCCAAAGATAAATATTTATGTCAATAACATTTTGTGATAGAACTGTCTTGTTTCTGCTTTATAAATCCAAATAATGATAAACTTGTTCTACCATTTTTTTCTTCTTTGTAAAAAGGAACCGTCCCTTTAAAAGAACGCTGGACACCAGCGGGTTTTTAAAAAAATAGTTGCTGAAGAAGAATCTGTTTCAGAAATGTTTTTGGACATTCTTTGTTCTTATTACGCAAAAACATTAAAGTTTTGCACATTTTTTGAGAAATGTCTAGGAATATTCTGAGATAAAAAACGTTTATGAGTTATATGTTATTTTGTTTATAGTTTATGAGTTATTTAATATTAACATTGAAGTTATTTTTCTTCTTCATTTTGCAGCGTGTAATTCAGTTTTGCGAAAATCATAACGAGAGTGATAATTTTTTGCAAGCACGTACTGTTGCGTCTTTCCGTCTGGCTAGAGAAATTAAATCTAAACTTTAGCTCCTCGCATACTGATACTGACACTACAAGTTACAATTATTTCTTGTCGCAACTAGCATAAAGTATACCTCTATAGATTTCATCAACAACATATAAAAAAATGAATCTTAGAAACAATAAATTTCAAAAAAATCCCCAACTAAAATAACGCATTAACTAGGAATTTCTCAAGTTTTGAAAAAAAAAAAAAAAAAAAAATNAAAAAAAAAAAAAAAATTCTGAATGTGTTTGAAAGGAATATGCACAAGTCATGAAAATTTTAGTAGAAACTGAAAGGGAATATCTAATTGTGATAAATTGATGAATTAAACGGGTATAAAAAACAGTCCTCAATTATATAATTCTTCGGATGGGATAAAATAATATTTTAGTTCCTACATGATACATTTCACTAACATTGATTTATTTTTATGTAACCTTAAATGACATTATTTATGATACTAAGACAGAAAGTTTTAATTATAATCACTTACTAATCATAAAACTGAGTTTATTTAATCAAAACACTATACTATGCATTAAATACCATTAAAAAGTAAAATTCCGCAAAAATTCAGAATTTAAGATTGAATATTGCACTACCCTTTTAATCGAATAACCCGCTTAATAGCTTAAATTTGGCTGGTACCGATGGTATTCCTTTAAGCGGGGTTGACTGTATTTATAATGCCTTGTTTTCACAGTGCACTCTTCGACTTTTAACAATTAACAATGGTCAATCGTATTTTGACCACTTTTTGACTTAAACAAAGTTAGCTAAAGAAAAGAAAATTAAAAATTTCAAAAACTTGGCTTTTTAAGTGAGTAAAAAAAGAAAAAATAATTCTTCTTAATGTTGAGCTCATCACTTTTGTAATAGGCTTCTATGATTCACACCAAATTTTACCCTCAACTTAGCTATCAACTTATCTTCAACTTAGCTAAAGATAATAGCTTCCTGGCGCGTAATTGATTATCCTATGGTTACCCACCTAAGGAGAATTTTGCTTCATTTTCTCTTCTTGGAGATTCATATCTCTTCATGGAGCATTTTGTTGTACTAGTGCATTTTGTGAAAAAAACATTAAATAAAAACACACACACACGCATAAAAATTATATGGAGATACCAGATACATTCAACTCATTTTAAACTGTTCTATATGAGCGTGCAACACATTTATGGCTTTTTCGAACAACTCTATTTAATTGAGTAATATTTCTGTTTTTAAAATTTCTTAGAATTTTTCTCATGCTGTTCAATAGATTCAGTTTTATTGTCAGAGTTACTTCAGTAATTTAATTTCAAAACATTTTGTAAAGGACCCGGAAAATTTTTAGGGTCTTGAGCCTGAATTTGTCTTGATCAGTCCCTGGTTACAGTCCCCTTGCCATCTGGCCAACCGTGTGAGGTTTTCGTAGTTTTCCTCTCCATGTAAGGCACATGCGGGTTATTTCCATCAAAAAGTCCTCCACGAAGGCAAATTTGTCCAAATACTTGATCCCTTGTCTTCTGGATTGAGTTCTGATGAGTTGAACATTAGTAGTCGTAAAGCCAAAACAATTGGGTCATCTGTTCAAAGACGATTATAAAATTATATATATATATATNTACATTGTGGTTTAAAAGGCAACTTTACTGCACTATTTTTAATCCAATTACAATTAAGTATAATATAGCATCGAGCACATTCTGTGTTTCTTATATAGAAACAAGATATTTCAAGGAGGTAGGTAGTTTAATTACGTCGCTCTAGAGCTGCACAATGTGATGTTGGGGACGGTCTGGGAAACATCCATGAGGTTGAAACGAAGACATACCATTAAAATTTTTATCCTCTATCGGCACCCCCGATTTAAGGATGAAATCGAGAAATTCAGGATAGAACAGTTTAACGAGAACTGATACCGCTCACCCTCAGTCTTTCCGCTATCTGATAAAAGTGGTGAAACACACACCACTGCCAGTGTTGCTTGACTTTGGTGACCTACTAGGAACCGTGTCTTACTATTGAAATATAAATAGTGTTAATTAAATTTGAATGGACAAAAATATAAAGTTTATTAAATTTTAAATAAGAGCTCAGAAGTAAGGCTGTATTGATTCTCTCAACTAAAGTAACTTTATAACTAAATTTAAACAAACGTAATTCGCTAAATAAATAGTAAATACCTTAAAGATAAAGAACTTAAAGTGTAAAAATTTACCCATATTCAAGGATGGTGTTGTATTACTTGATAATGCAGGCATATTAAAGTTGAAAATAGTTGTATCCAAATAAAGCGGAGAGCTATGTATACCATACACTGTAATACATTCTATAGAATTCAACGCTGACTAAAATCCGACACACAAAAAATCCTAGAGAGTTTTGATCATTGTAAAAGAGTTGAGGATTATATAGAAGAGCGTACAGCTGGCACGAAATAGGGGAGGCTTACCTCACGCTGTTCATCACACGTAGCTTATCACACGCGGCTTCCACCACGCGGATCTTCACACGTGGTGTAGCAGCTGTCAGATCAGAGAAAATTTGCGGGAAGAATTATTGAATCGCATAAGATGTCATTTATAAAACGTGTCACATGCGTACCATAAAAAACAATTGCTTACAAATTTTAAATGTTAAGAGCGATTAAGGAGAAGTTTTATTAGTTTTTATTTGAATAATTATAAAAATTATAATTATTAAATTATAATTATTAAATTATAATTATTAAAAATAATGACAAATACAATTAAGGATAAACTTTAGTAATTTTCAATTGAATAGTGTCGCAACACGGTACACTTTTAATTATTAAGAACAATAATATAAGCAATAAAGGAGAAACTTCATTAGTTTCCATTTAAATAATATTGTATCCCAGGTATATACCTTAATTCAAGAGAATCAAGATAAAATTCCACAAGTATAAAGAGGTGTTGAGGAACCCGTCATTAACGAAGAAATCGTAATTCATATGAATGAAACAAGATTCCAAGGTATCAAGATGAGCTTCTGTGACAGGGGTAGAAAAAAGTTTGGCATTTGACAAAAATTAAATTTGAACCCAAGATTCTAACAATGGGCGGCAATAAGTGATTTATCGCATGTGTTTGTTTTGCCTAATGTTACGACTTTAGCTACATAGTACAAATTAGAAGCGCTTGAAAATTTAGATTCAAGGAACATTGGTTACTCGCCATCTAACAATAGCGCGTGAAAATGCATTTTACCCTGGTTTGCCTCGCTATTTGCAGTTTTTATGGTTGTGTTTTTTCACGTTTACAAGTTTTTCATCTTCTCTTTCACTATCGGCTGCAGCGGTTTTTTTTTTTTTTTTTTTTTTTTTTTTTTTTTTNTTTTCTTTTTCTTTTCTTTTTTTTTTTTTTTTTTTTTTTTTAAATTTTTGGTGGCAACTTCACATTTTCTGTTTCAAGTCGTTTATGTTTCTGTTTGTTGCAAAGTTATTCGTTACTTGCTTGCAAAGAAATTCACGCTATCAATATTTTAATCACTTTAAGACTAATTAGAGTTCAAAATAAGCCTTCAATCAAAATTGTGTATGCAATTTCTGATAGAAACGAATTAGCTGACACAAAACTATAGAAGGATGAAAATAATAAAATAAACAAATTTTAAAAAGCTTTATTTCAAAAATCAAATCTTGCAGATAAAACTATCTTATAATACATAAAACAGAAATATATTTTTCTTAACAAATAATTCGTATTTTAGATTATTATAATAGCAGTAAGTAAAGGTCAAAATCTGACTTCAAATTTTGGAAACGATAACATTATTCTATTACTCAAAAAGTTAACAAATAAACTAGTCAGCAGTGAAAAATTTTCTTAACCTAGCCATTTTTTTCTTTTTACTAAATCTTAAAGTGATAGTGAAATTGTTGATTAAGCAACAATTTCACAATTAAAGCAATGAGTTGAAAATTTTAACACGCAATGCAGTCCATTTTTACCAAAAGTTTATGAGGGAAAATTGCTTAGAAATTAAGTTTTAAAGATAAAAAAATAACATTTACAAGATAAAAATGATATATCATTTATATGATATTTCATTTTAAAGATAAAATGTTATATACTCATACATTATTTTCGTAAAATTTTAAGACTTGCTCATAATATCTTCTAAGCAATTAGATCTTCCCAAGTACTATTTCTAATAGATATTTCGATTTTAAAAACAGGCCATGATTTACATATAATTAATTTATAATTAATTTAAATTCTAACTTAATTTATAATTAATTTGAATTCTGACTTAATTTACAATTGATTTTAATTCTAACTTCATTTATAGTTAATTTGAATTCTAATTTAATTTATAATTAAATTGAATTCTGACTTAATTTATAATTAATTTTAATTATAACTTAATTTATAATTAATTTGAATTCCACCAATTCAAGTTCACAGCAGCAGACATGTCAACAATACTTGCCCTAGTCACAATTTAAATATTTCACTGTAACGTAGCTTCGTAGTGGGTCAAAGGAACACTAGCAGCAAAATAACTTGGGCTTTCATTTTACCAATATTCCCGAATCTCGGCACAATAAAGATTTAAAGGGCAAATATTTTCCAATGTTGGCTCACTAAAAAATTGTCAAATTCACCCGATATTTTATAGTCATTATTCAGCCAATATAAGCCCTATTTTGGTTGTATATAGACTAATATTGGCCCTACATAGAACCAATATTAAAAAATCTAGACATCCTAATATTGGTCCCTCGGTGCATGTTCACATAGAATCCATATTGAGCTAATTTTGAGACCAACTGGAGCCAAAGTAAAATTGTTGCTAGGGAAAATTCAGAAATTTTTTTTTTAAAAAATTAGAATATTTTTTAAGAAATTCAGGGCATTTTATGGAATGTATCAAACATATATATATACAGATATCAAACTACTTTTGCAAATGGCAAAATTGTGGCAAAACTGAAAAAAAAATCATTTGCTCTACTTTAAAGAAAATTTTATTACAAGAATAATTAAATTTAATTAGTTTAATTTTAGAATTTATTTATATAGAACAAGAAATTTTAACAGTTTTGAGAATAATTTTAACAATACTGAACAAAATGCTCAAATCAATGCATTGAAAAATTTTATAGTACTGTTGCATTAAAAAAATAACCAGTATCAATTAGTTAATATTTCTTCATACTAATATTTAATTAAAATTTGTAGTTGAGTTCAATATTTCTTTAATCAAATCATTTTAAACCTAAGTTTCAAAAATCTCGAGATGAGAGAACTATATATATGTCTCTTAGCATTTTTGTAAAAAAAGTAATTTAGTAGATTATTCTTCAATTCATCATTTAAAAATTCTATGATATGCTTATTGCATTGTTGATTGGAATTGATCATTTTCAAATCATATGAGAGAGAAGAATCAATAATTGGGAAACAAGACATTTTTTACTGCATTTGCTTAAATAATAAATAAGCATATGACCCCTGAATTCAAAATATTATTGATTTAATTCCATACAAATTTTAAAATATAAAATTGTTAATTGATTTTTTTTCATAGAATGATTCAATTCCCTAGAAAGTTTAAACAACGAAACCTGTGTGTAAGGCTATGTCATAGTGTCACGAGATGAGAAAGAGGGTTAAATCATTTGAAGATGCAAATTACAGCTGATGCTTCGTATCTTGAGATAAGAAAAAGGGTAAAATCATCTGAAGATGCAAGTTACATCTGATGCTTAGAGACATGAGATAAGAAAAAGGGTAAAATCATCTGAAGTTACACATTATCTCTGATTCTTCATATCATGAGATGAGAAAGAGGATAAAATCACCAAACATCACATTTTCTGATGGTTTTTCAGGATATTAAAAATAAAATTTTAGAAAATGTTAAGTCTGATATTTCCTTTAACGAGTTTAGAAAGATAAAAGCCTAGCCAATTTTGCGATTTTTTTTAAAAAATTAAATAGTTTATGTATCTAATTTATTTGTGTATAATGAACTCCATACAATTCTTTCCGACAAGATAATATAAAATTATAATTTAGAAAATATTTGTTCAAAAAAATCAAGCCACTAAGTTCCTGATAAGTTTAGGATACAAAGTTTTGGGTGCACTATTTTAATAATTTTTTAAATATCTGAAAGGTATATGTATGAATGCTAAGATTTTCATACTCAATTATTTTTAATTCAATATTGGTACTAACGTAGTTGACACTTTTTACAGTATTCATGGTTTTTCAACCTTTCCCTCAGATCTTTTAGAAGTTTAGCTTCATAATTATCCTTCTTGCGTACTACTTTGCGCTCATAAAAGAGCTTCAAGACACCGTTTATTTTCTTAATGACTGCATCAAAACCTGTAGTGTATTGGTAGACCATTTCTCCAGGATGGTGCATTCCGCGCACGTGAGTTACGAACGCATCAAATGTATCAATGTCCATTATATGATCAGTCTCTTCATTTTCTTTCCACAAACCAGGCGTTCGTCTCGGCGAAATAGTGGTACTCTTTCCTGTCGTTTTACCACGCTGACTTTTCAGTTCTTTTGGATTTTTAGTACCCTTGATGAAAGTCTTCGGTTGTAATCGTTGAGCATCATTTGGCAAACCTGAGAAGAAAAATGCTTGCATTTATATTTCCACTAATAGACACTCCACTAGCAATAAAGTCATTTTTCTTAACTAATTAAGAACAATTCAGAGTCTTTCGCTAGAAAACAGAACTAATTAAATAGTAGTGGGGTAAAAACCTTAATTTTACTCCATTCTCCTCTATGTGTTATTTTTTCTGACTTTAAAAATAATTTTAACTTTTCGAAGTATCTACCCTTCATAAAAATAATGTTATAAAGCAGAACTATTTCCATTTAGCAATAATTTATCAGTTTGAAAATAATTAAATTATAAAGTGAATGTTAAATAACCTGCTGAAGTATCATTTCTAGTAGGACAATGTTGTTGTTTCTAATGCCACTTGCCGGTACCAGCCAGTCTGCTTGTGAAATCAAACGAATTTGAGGCAGAGGGTGCGTTTCTTGTTTTTCAATGGCCAAGAATACGACTTCAGACAAACACACGTCACAACCCTTTTATGGAACTGATTCATTCATACACAGATGGTGATTTTGACTTGAACCAGAGAACAATCAATCTCCAATTAAGTACCCCCCCCCACAGGTAAGACTTGTAATGGGAACATGGGGGATTTTGTAACCCGACAGATTTTAAGTGCACCATTCACCATTTACTACAAGGGTAGTCTTCAGCCGGTGGGAATCAAACTCACGACCTCTTAGTAATTGGCCGAATGCCCTATTAACTAAGCTATCCCGGCCCTGTAGGGCAATGTATTTCCATAATAAATTAGGGTTATTTTGTCCACTACTCAGTAACTTTCTTTCGCAGAGTGTCATAAGGACTATGGTATACGATACAGATGCAAGTAATGAGGAAAACGTTCACATTACTAATCATGACCCCAGTAACAGAATTCAAGGAGTTAATTTGCAACTCAATCTTCATCAATCCAAGTTTTCCTATGACCTCAACTCAATCAGAAACTATTACTTTAAAAAATCTATCTCAATCTAACATACAGGTAGCAAAATTTTCAAATGTAAGATCCTGACATATAAAACTTTATGTTGTTTTAAATTTAAATTGAGTTTATTATTTACATCGCACTAGAGCTGCACAATGGGCTGTTGGCGACGATCTGGGAAACATCCCAGAGTACATGCCATCAGAAATTTGATCCTCTGCAGAGCTCTCCTCTCCAGTTTTGCTAGTCTGGAGACCTGGGCCCAGTGTCGAGCACTTTACGGTAGAGCAGTTTCAAAGAACGCATCACCGCAGGAGAAAATTTTCGTCGCAAATTTTCTTTTCCCTACATAACTAATTTAAAGCAAAGATAATTTGAGTTTAGATAAACCTAGATTAAATCATGAAGTTTCAATGGCTTAAAAAATTTTCAAAATACCAAACGGCAAACAAATTTTTGGAATATAACTTCTCCATTGCGCAATCCTAAGTTATCTTCTCTTATTTTATTTTCATATTGATATTTTAAAATTTTATTTTCAGTACTTTGAACTTCATGGCATACTCTAGGTTTGCCCAAACTCACTTTTTCTCTTCTTTAAATTTTAAACTTGTTATAAAGGTGAAAGAGAATTGGCGACCAAAAGTTTCTCCCGATGTATGGCGTCCTCTTTATACCTCATACATTAGGTCTCTTCGAAAGCCTCACCTTCTCTCTCACAGGCCCCAGCTTGTGAGGCTGGCTTGATTTTAATAATCTACTGGGAATAATACCTCATGATCAGTCCATTGTGGGACTAATTTTATATGATAAGACAAAAAAAAAGTCGAATAAATCCCTGCACAGTTAAGATAGTAATCGAGTAGAAGAAAAAAAATTCTTTATTTTTTTGCTGTTTGTGATGACTCGCGATTCACCTTTTTAGAAAGAAGTTTAGAGATAGTTTAAAAAGAAATCTCAGCAATTTCTTCCCATTAGATTACTTTCTTTTTTAATTAAGATGAAAAATAATCTGCAGATCCTAAAATAAAATCTACAGCACCGATGCCATGCTGGAAGATTTCTGCTGACGTGCTGACAGACTCATATGACTAAATTATGTCTGACGATAAAAGAGCGGCGGAAATGAAACGAGACATTAAAAGTTTGAAAAATTCGCGAACTTGAAAGCAAAAAATTCTATAATTGCAATATTCCTCGAGTTGTAATATTTAAAGTAATGCTTCGCAAACTTTTTTTTAACATATTGTGCTCCATCAAAGAAACAAAGACAAAGAAAAGAAGAAATATATAGCGACACATAATAACATATATTATGTCTAACAATAATGAGCCCAGAACTGATTAAAGAAATTAATTACTCTAACTAATTGAGAAATAAATAAAATTTAGCTAGAAACTAAAATCTGGCAGCAGTTGACGGTACAAATTAAAAAAACTACATGAGCAAAAAGAGATATTTTACCTTGCGATGTAGATCGATTAGGAGAGCTTCCATTTGAAGAAATTGTTGTAATTTCTTGATTTCTCCCATAATATGAGATCTCGCTAGGTGCGGATGTGGATGGTAAATCTTTATCAAAATACTCAAGCGTTGCTGTTGTTGAATTTTTATTTGAAGGCGTAATCGACGATTCTTTTCTACGAAGTGATGCTGTTGCTGTGTCTTTATTAGTTAAAGATTGCCTGTTGCCAGTGTTCGAAGATTTTTTAAAATTTTTCGGATGTGATGCCTGGCCAATACCATCTTCAGTAAGATTCCTTCTTTGTATATTGCTCCCAGAACTACTTGGCTTTCTTATAAATGTTCTATTGGCGCTACTTTTTGCATTGCTACTTTTTGCAACGCAATTGGTTCCGAACGATTTATTTCTTCTCGCGGGTTTCGGCACTGTAGGTGGAGAGGGTGGAATATAAATATTTTTGATTTCCACAGTACAGTTTTTGATTTTACAATTCATTTTATGCTCTTGTGACTGTTTCGAGAGACTTTTGGAGTCTTTTTTTCCAGGAAGATTTCTGCTTGAGGAATGAGTTCTAGAAGAATTGGGTGAATCCTTATTTATCCTGAAGTTACGTATTTCTGGAAGAAAAAAAGACAATTTATAAATGTATAACCGGAAGAATCAAACGAAAATCTGGTTAACATTTAACTAAATCAGTATTGACATTTACTATATTTCGTTTTGTGTGAAGAGAAAATTTAAATCCAACAATGCTTTAAAGCTTTAAAATAAAAGCTGTTATTGCTTTAGATACGAGGGTTGCTATTTATATTTCTGGCCTAATAATGAAAAAACAAGCATGTAGGATCGAAATTGGTTTCATTGTTTTTCAAAATATTCTCCATGATGATCAATAAATTATTTGCATGCGTTTGAACCAATTTTCAAAGCACTTTTTCCAGTCCGATTGAGGTAACTCCAAAACATGCGTTTTGAATGCATCAACCGCTTCTTCGGGGGTCGAAAATCGTTGTCCACATAATTTATTTTTTATGTGTGTGAATAAGAAGAAGTCATTGGGTGCCAAATCAGGGCTGTACGGTGGATGACAAATCAGTTCGATCTTTCGCTCCGTCAGAAATGCCTTTGTTTGAGTCGATCTGTGAGAGCTCGCAATGTCATGATGAAAAATGATTCGCCTGTTCTTCTGCTTTTTTCGAATTTCTCCGATGACTTCTGGCAAACAAATGGTCGTGTACCATTCAGAATTGACCGTCCTGCGTTGCTCTAACGCCACTGTTGCCACATGACCGTTAATGCCGAAGAAACAGGCAATCATTTGTTTNAATGTTCAGCATTCCTTGGCTTAATTCTATTGCTCGATACCAATTCCTGATAGTCAAAATTTACTATAATCAACAATTTTCTCCGGTATTTATCCCATTTAGTAAGCTGTAAAAAAACCTATTTTTCCAGTACTTATAGTAGGTATCATGATCCGTATATATAGTACATATTAGAATAACGCCGAGTAACATATATATATAGTTTATCAAGAATCTTTAAAATGTTTGCGCACACATATGTAAATAAAGCATTAAAAAAATTATATCATTTCGAATATAAAGTAATAAATTCGAAATGATAAAGACACTTAGATATTTTACAACTTCTTTTATGAGACCCTTGTCGATCGTTTTTTTAATTTTTTTTAAACCTATTAGGTGCATTTTCAAAATTATTACTACGAAACATTTTTAAATTTCTAAAACACTGTCCGATACGAATTAAAGTAATAAATGTAAATTGCTGCAAACTTATAAGTATTTAAAATTTAATTTTATATCCGGCGTTGGACTCTGAGTTTACAACTACCAATGTTCAATTCCGTAACCTCGCCTAGCAACCCTTACTGTTGCCAAGGCCAGAAATATAAATAGCAACCCTCGTATAGTTACTGAAAGTTCTAGTTAGTTCACGGAAGATGTTTGAAGTGCGTAAACAAAGGATAGAGTGTTAAAAAAGGAGACATGGCCATACTTGTGCAATGAGGGTATAGAGTTGTACTTTTGCTAAAACGCTATACAGTAAGAAAAAAGCTTCATGGCAAATTCTGTTTTACACACTTAAACAATTTAAAGAATGAGTTCAAGTAAACCATAAAGTTTAAATGCTGAAAGAAAATTTTCATAACAGCGAAATAAAAGCAAATTATGGTTATTTTAATACAAAGTAATACTGTCAGAATTTGCATTTTGATATTTTGAAAAAATAAATTTCCGCATTTTAAATTTCATGGTTTATTTGTATTATTTCCGCATTTTAAACTCTTGGTTTATTTGAACTTTTATACTTCTTTACTTTTTTCTACACTTCAAAATTTACTTATTAATCTAGATAAAACAGAATTTTACATGAAACGTTTTCCCCCCGGTATAGTGACCTCTTAAGGAACCATATGTATCAGTAGGCCTTTTTATAAAAATACAGATACGCGGTGTTGTGTGTTGTTTCGAGAAATAAAGGATGGGCCCAATAGAATTTTATCAGCTGATAAGTTTTAAACCTAGCTAACGTAATGAAATTATATGTATAAACGTGCTCCCCCAAAATAAACCCTTTCTCCACCAAAAGATTTGTACGGTACACAAAAAGAAGCCTGGATAAAAATGAAAATTTCGCATGAATTGGAAATCCTCGTTGCTACAGCAGATGCAAATTTTCTAACGATACAATACAATATTAACAGATATTTTAAGAAATATTTACAGAACTCACTTGATTCTTCAGAGGTGGTTTGATGTGGTCTTGCAGACAATTGTGTGTTTTTGGATGTTTTACTCGAACTAGTTCTCGGAGCAGTTGCTGATGCAGTGAACAAAGCTCCATTAATTTCATCAGGACGTTCAAAAATACGAAAGACGTTTGCCATTCTACAAGAACTTTTATTTTTTATGCTAAAGCTAGAACTCTTCGTAGGCCGAGAAGTTGAACTTTCTCTATAATTATCAGAACACTTTCTTTGACTGCCAATTGTTGAGGATGAAAACTGACTTTAGTGGTCTTTGTCTAATTCTCGATGGGAGCTTATAGTTGATAAAATGTCATAAGTCGATCAGCTCATTTCTCTTTATTGAATAACTCTGATTTGGGGAGTAAGAAAAGTTTATAGTGTTCTTTTCTCTTTAAAGGCGAAAGACTTACAAATGTCGATTCTTACAAATGTTGATTTTGAGTTTTTCCCAATGATTTGAATCATGGAGGTGAAATGATTGCTTTTATAATTATTCTCCAGAAATTGTCCAGCATAGTGTATTCAACTGTAATAGAAATATATGTATATAATAGAAATATACGTATGTAATAGAAATATATGTATGAAATAGAAATATATGCGTACAATAGAAATGCAGTCAAAACCCGTTATAGTGAAGCTTCAAGGGACCGAAATTTCGGTTCACTATATCCGTACTGCAAACAATTTTAACTAATTTTCCGAACTGCTTCCTTTTATTACACATTGTTTAAACAAATGACTCATAAAAAGAAATGCAAAAATGATTAAACAATTTGTAGTAACAAAAAATTTGCTAACTTTTATTTTTTATTACTCTTCGTCTTGCGGGCCGGAAATTTAGGGATGGCCTTTATTCAGGGATGGGAAACTGAGATAGAAGAATCAAACAAGAAAACATGTCAATGGTTACGTTCCACTTTATAGATGATTTTAAAAATCGGTATATGTATTTTATGTAAAAATTTCAAAATTACCCAAAAAATGAAGAAGAAAAAATCAGTCGAAGACAGAAAAAAGTTCATAATATCCAATTTTCCCTCTCTCTTTTGGTTCACTGTATCCACAAAAAATATTTTAAGTGTATAGCAAGGCACGGGAGAGAACATTTCGGTCACTATATCCGGAAGTAAACTATAGACCATGTTCACTATAGCGGGGTATATGTATGTAATAAAAACTATGTATGTATAAATAAAATTCTTTAAGCAGAAGTAAATGTGAAGTGCTTAAAACTTACTGCTACTATGTTAAATTTAATTTGTTTGAACTTCAGTTATTCTTAAATACTTATTGTTAAGCAATTGTATTGGTCATTTTTATCTTCTTCCTTTTTGTCCATTTTCTTCCACTGTCTTGGAAAAAATAGGCTTCTTTCGGAAGAAATGCCAACCCTGTTTAACCCCTTAACGATCGGTTAATTTTCAAGAAAACGATCATAAATGTGCAAAATAGGTCATAAAAGTAAAAAAATATTTTTTTTAAAATATGTATAACTGTTAGCTGCAACCGTGGCAAAATAAACTTATTTTGGCTTAAATACAGCCTTTTTTCTGAAGAAAGAAACATTTTATGCATCCAAATTCGGAATTACTACGCCCAAAATAAGGGGTAGATGAAAATTTAATTAACCAGTTTTTATAGTTAAACCATTATAACAAGTCAAATATTTGTTACTCTTGTGTCATTTAAATGTGCGAGGTTTCTTTTCATATCTTTTAACTGATTAGTAAAACTAAAGCAATTCTTATACAAAACATTATAAGACTTCGTCCCAAAGGAAAATATATAGTATAATGGGAAATATAAATGAACTAAATAATTTTTATTTATTAATTTGTTATTAATGAAAAAAAATTGCAAGGTACAAAAATGTTTATACAGGAGCTGCATTGCGTCGTAGCATTCCTTGGAAACAACTTTGCTCAGTTATTGCTGCGTAGGTAACCTTTAATAGTCAGTTCTGTGTCTTAAAAGTGTCCAAATATAACAAATTACCCCTCCGCGTATGAGATACCGTCAGTGATGAGTTTTTAGTCGGGGAAACACCCGTTTGTTGCATACATTAACCGGTAGATTTGTGAAGTTTACAAAGCTTCCTACTGGTACTGTTTATCGGTTTTTTTTTTTTTTTCTTTTTTTTTGACAGGGAAGTTTTGGACCACCCCTCAATACAGCCCAGATCTTGCACTAAGTGATTTTCCGAAGTTTCAAATATCATTTTGGCGGCAACCAATACAACGATGATGAAGATGTGAAAACGGTCGTGATCTCTTGGTTATCTAAGCAGGTAGCAAGTTACTATGAAGAGGGTATTCTACTTATAGTTGTAAGGTACGATAAGTGTTTAAGCAAACTTGGGGGCAACTATTTGGGGGGAAAAAGAGAAACATATGTAGAATCAAAAAATGAAAATTTTCGTTCGTTTGGTTTTTATTTTTGAACTGCCCTTACTTGAATGACAGCTCTCGTATATTCAGAATTTTCACTTTTTTTCTTTGAAAAAAAAAAACCAAATGCCATCTCAAGTAACACCAAATATTAGATAACATTAGAAAATGAGTTAAACCTAAGTTTATCTTGCACAACTTCTAATATTAGAAAGACACAAAAGGTCGCTGTTTGCTCTGCATTATACAATATTAGATTCTATGCAAATTAGTATTATCTAGCGTTCGCGTTCGCCGTCAACTGATCAATAAGAACTGATAACAATATTGCATTGAACAATAAACTTATCAAAAACAATCTCCATCTTGCTTAATAATTCGTATTCTCACAAGTAAACAGGTACACTGGCAAAACAACTCGAAAAAAATCAAAGAAAAATAAACCATTAGAGAAAAGCACACACGAATCAAAATTGAGCCTTAATTCATTAAATATTATTTTAGTTTATTAAATATTGATGAGAGTTAATTAATTATTATTTTAAAATTAACTAAATGTTAATGTGTTGATTAAATATTGTGTAAAAAGTGCTTAAAATACAACTATTAAATTTGAAGTAAATGAATAGGAATTTTTCAAATTTCATATTTTTTCAATGCTTTTATTTTTTACACTTCATATATTATTATTATATTTTCATTCACATATTATATTTTCATCATTTTATAAATTGAAAAATTTTTAATACCAGTAAATGCACTGATCGTAATGAGATATGATAGTCATATAAAAATGAAACCTTTTAAACAATTCATTTTTTAAACGATTAATTTTTTTAAACAATTAATTTTTTCAAAGAGTTCATTCAAAAAAACTGCAAATTAAAATAAAATGTTTCAGAATTTTTTAAAAATATTTTTAGCTCAAAGAATAGCACCCAGAGAGAATATTACAATTGGTTGCAATATAGGAGAACTAACTATCAAAGGACATATATGAAGAGCTTAAGGGAAGAACCAGATAAGTGACATTCAAAAAAAAATTGAGGTTGCTCGGGGAAAGTACTTATTTTAATATANAAAAAATATATATATATATATATATATATATAAGCTGCTAAGTGACTTGGTACCAAATAGTTAACGAAAACTACCCTAGAAAATCACCTTGGTGGACATTGAATGCTAAGGAGTGGAGAGAAAAAAAATTGATGAAAATGACAAACTTGAAACAACTTCAATACTTTAAAAAGAAATTTATACTTTTTTACGAATGAATAACTAAAAATGACAACAACAAATAACCCTTAAATAACTTCATACAGTTTTTTTTTTTTTTTTTGTTTGTTTCTGGTTCACATTAGTTTCTGTTTCAGACATACTACCAAAGTAATAAATTTTTTTCTAAATCTCGTTGAAAATAAATATTATTTTGGGTCAATCTTACTGGTTTCTCTACCTTTCATAACATAAAAAAGCTTGACTTTTTTAATCAATTAATCAAAATTATTAAAATTAATTAGTATAATAAGTTTACCAACAATAAAAAATTCCCATAGTTAACAGTAAGTCGGTTATTTATTTAAGTTAAAAACTTAATGTTATAAGGAATTTAAAATTAATCAGTAAAGAATAGTCAATTGCATCAGTCAATTGCGACGATCAAAATTTTATCAAATATTTTATTTTAAGTAAAGATTTAGGTAGTATAAAAGAATGATTTTATAAAATTGGTTATCTTTATTACTTATTATTATACATGACAAAACTCTTAAACATACAAACAACGATCAATCAAGTCAAAGATTATAATTGACACAAATTAAATCATTATTACATTATACTAAATTATTATTAAACAAATATATTTAAATCAAAGTGTGAAACTGGTAAATATACTAATAAAGGTATTACCTGATATGGGGTACCCTACCTAATACATTCATACACCATGATATCTTGTATCAGTCAGTATCAGGAAACTTTCTTCCTTATTTTTCCACCAGCTCCTGTATTTTATGCTTTACCTTTTTTAACTTTTTTTCTTACGCCAAATTAAAAAGGTCCTCACACAGGCCTTTCCTACCTGCTCTGTATTCATCCACCCCAATGATGTCAATCTCAAACAACCAATTAACTTCTAACTGTATGACATCACTAGCATGTCTTGGATGATATCAGTACTTTAATGTCCGTTCCATATGGTTTTTTCTTTGCCACATTAATTATTTTACTGTACATACAAATGTGATACTTACAAACTTTAAAATTTTGGGGCAACTTTTTTCAATTTATTATTATTGTTACTAGCAGAATATTTTTTTTCTTGCGAGTTGAAATTATCTAAGTTCTAAGTAATCAATAAATCGGTAATGATCAACATTTCGAAGTGATGCACAAAATTTAAAAAGATTAGCGTACACAATTGATTTACTTTTAAAAAAATGTATTGTTACTTGTTGCATTTTTAAAAATTAATAATATATATTGCTGTTAATTAGAGAATTATTTATTAAGATAATGGATTGAATGAATTGTATTGATGATTGATTGACGATATGATGGTTTCGGAACTATGTAAATATGATACATCACAATAATAATAGTTATATCTTGGAATAGGACGAAAATTGTCTTTTGTACTTGTGTTTCAATATAGTCATTGAGTTAGAAAAAATATTTACTTTATGAGTTTTAAAAGTATATATCAAGCAAACAAATTAATTAAGGCCGAAAATGAAATCGAGATAAATTAAATTAAGGGGAACGTGATCTAATTATGATCTTAAGAAAAAGTGGTGGTACAATGCTATAGTGGGATAACAATAACCCAATAGGTTCAAATGGTCACAAAGTGTGCGGTTTAAACAAATCGGATGAATTGCTATCACCAAATTTGGAATAAAATGAAATCTAAAATTAATCAAGGTCATAAAATAAAAGATAAAAACACAATGACTTGCTGTATCTATATATAAATATACCATTTAACTCAATTTAGAGGTGTTACGAAAAAGAAATAAAACAAATAACTAAAGCAATAGCAAAAAATACTCACTGTATACAAAAATATTCCAAAAGAACATGCGCAATCAAAATGACGAGACTATGATTTTCAAACATCTTTTAATTGAGCACAACTTTGTAATCACAATTTACACCAGAAAAACATATCTTCTGACACAACTTTAACAAAAGAATTAAAAATGAAATGGGTGACAAGAGAATTTAATAATATTGCGTCATGCATGAAAATAAGATATAAGAGAAAGATAAATTTAAATGGTGATAATTAGATAAATACAGAAGGAACGCTTGAATTTGTAAAGGTTTTTTAAAGTTAAAGACAATTAAAGGCATAAAAAGTAGATATTCAATTTACGGAAATTAATTACGGTTTGAGGATTTCATTAAAATTAAAAGCAAAAAAACAAACAGGATGTAAATAGAAAAAAAATAGTGCGTGGAGTCCCTCCGCGCGGAAGAAGTTAATCTTCGCAACCGGCGACGTTAATTGTAGAAGAATCGGCAGTTGTAGAAGGATCACTAGTTCTATTCAACGACTCTTTTTCCTGCTCCGCTCGCTTCCGTGCTCTGTAATCACTTTAGTATTGTGCATTTTTCCCTCGTGGACCTCTTGAACCAGTGGAAGTGCTTGTGGTTACCTCATCGTCTCGCCCTGGAAAATGTATTTGTATTAATAATGTATGTGAATGCGTCATAATGTAATTTCAGAAGAGAAAACCTGACAATCAATTGATATTCACAAGAGAGGCACCTTGACATAACCTTAAATCCGTCACGTTGTCCGTGGGATTGTTTTCCCTCATTTTTTACAATTGTTATCCACTAAATTTGAAAATAAAAAATACTACCCTATTAAATTATATGTGTATCAAAACAAACTAAAAAAATATTTATAGAAAAACAATACTTTTATGACTTTTATTATTTTTATGCTAGTGAGAACCAAAACAATATGAAAATGAATGACGGAAAACTGGATCCTACCACGTGATTTCCCGACCAATAAAAATGTAGCGTTAAACGTTTAACGCAACCTTGTTGGAAGTCGCATAAGAAGTATAACTTCAATAAATAAATAAAAATTCCCTCGCTAAGTCCGCATCCCGGAAAAAAACAGAGAACGCATCACTCGATGCAACCAGCAATAAAATCAACAAGAAAAATAATGTCTCAGTAGTTAAAAATACTTCGTTAACACGTTGAATGCCATGGGGGTTACAGGTGAACCGCACTGAGTTTGTTCGTATCAAAACGGGGGTCACCGGTGACCGGCGAAGCCAAGATTAATATGAAAACACGAAATTTGAGTAAATTTTCAATCATTTTTCTTATATTATTATCGTTACGTTACTAAAATGGTTTGATGAAATTAATGCAATATAGAACACACAAAAATAGTTTTATTTATATACACAGAATTCTTGATTTAATAAATTAAATTTAATAGATTTTTATCCACCACCATTTCTAAACAATATTTACAAATTTAGTTTGGAGTTATTTATCGTTTGGCCAGACGGGCAAGCCATGTAAAATTAGCGTGGCATTCACCGTGTTAACTGGTATAGATCCAAAAAAGCGACAGCCAAATAAATTTAGAGAGCGGAGAGTTTGAAAATCGGACGATTGCGGAGGTTAAGTAAACCCCCTTAAAAAATAAATGCAGAAAAGGAAAAAGCTGGAAGAGAGGAATATCTCTCTCGAAAGAAAAGTGAAATTTCGCCAGACAAGATATTTTAAAAATAATTATATATATTTAAATTGAGAAAGCAAAACACTAATTTAAGAAAATCACTTAGAAAATTTCGCAGAAAGCAAATTTAAACTGTTATATAAAAAAAGGAAATAAAGGTTTATGACATATAAATATTAAATAAAAGAGTACATTTTTACATTACGAAGTGTAAATGTGATAGTTGCTCTTTCTGGTGGCTTTATATTTTTAGATTAAGCAAAGTATGTTTTTAGAAGTTAGTCCTCTCAAAATGACTATTAACAATGTTCAGAATCATATGACATTATTCTATTGCTCGAGATCAACTCCTGATAGTAAAAAATTTCCATAATCTGCAATTTTCTCCGTTACTTATCCAATTCGTCCATAAATACAGTCGAACCTCTATTTAACGAAGTAGCTAAATCCTGATAGTAAGTTAGTTATATGGAAAATTCGTTAAATAGAAAATCACCTTTTGAAATACTTAAACAACACAAAACGGATTTTAAATTCATAAACACGAGGCATAATAAAATAGCAATGCATACGCCTTTATCTTGTAAACTAGTACCTACTATTAATTTTATAAGTCTTAACCACAAGAGAAATCTTCATTGAAAGCAAGAATCGGGCAAAACATTATCCAGTGTTACACTATCACGCTACATACACTTTCTATTTTTAAGAAAAACGATAAATTTATGTATAAAATTAGAGCTGCATTTATTATGAAGGTAATTTTTAGTATTCATTACCACATGCTTTCTTAAGTTTATTTGTTACTGATAAAATCAGTTAATTTTGTCTGAGTTACTCGCTTGAAATGTAAACAAAAAGAAAAAGAGTTCTCTAAAAGTTAAGTGGCTTTAAAAATCAATTCAAGGCCATTTTCCCCATAAAATGCGTCTGAAATGTACTGAAATATTTTGGGAAATCGGGAAAGTTGATCTCAAGGAAAAGTCCGTTAAGTAGAAAATTCACTTCTCAATTTGGAAGTTATTTTACGAAGGAATTTCCAAAATGCTCTTGGTTCATTTTCATAAAAATCGGCATCGGAGACAGATTAAGTGTATACAGTGAAAAAAGATATCCCCCTGAATAACTTTCGTTCTAATGATCGGATTTTCCCATACTAATTGGACTTTACACATTTGGATTTTTGGATTCTCAACCTTTAAAATATGGGAGGTAGCCGCAATCTGAGAAATATGGTCGCCATAGTTTAGTCCAGAGAGCGATCGAACCTTTAATTAATTAATTTCACTTTTTTTTTATGTTTCAGTCATATTTTTAAAGCTAACCAAGCAATTAAAAAAAATTGCGCCCACTCATAAAACCCGTTTACCCAACGATAATTTCATGCAAAAATAATATTTAATAATTATTTATTATTACTTAATTTAATTGTGAAGTAAGAAATTTTGAATTATGATGTATAATTTTTTGTACCATATTAATCTATATATTTTTCAAAGTTCGAGCTTGTGTTTTTATTTAGTGGATGACGAGAAGATTTAAAATTAATTATTTTTAAAAATTCTTTCGTAAATTTTTTTATTATTTTTGATTGTAAAACACGATGTTTTTCGTTAGTCGTCTGAAAATTTAATCGTAATTTAGTAAAGAAATTTGTATAAAACACTTTATTGAATAAAAAACACTTTATTCAACGAAAGTCGAGTTTTATGAAAGCATATTCCTGATAGAATGTAATTATACACCAGATTGTGAGTATATTTAATGTGATTATCTTTAATTTTTTAGTTTGTTTTTATGATAATTGCACAGTTTCTATAATATGCACACTTATGCATAGAGTTGGAAAAATATATTTATCAATTTCTTCAATACATATAGATTTTATAATTGTTAATACGAATACGTAATCGACATTTATTGGCATCTTAAAATTTCTCAATTTCTTATATATCATCATATTCTTAAAATAAAAGTTTTAACTACCTGTCAGCGCGTGTTTCGAAGAACTATTTTAACAACTATTTAATTGAATTCTAACATTTATAAAAACCTCATTCTTTGCGCGACCACGTTTATTATTTTTCATCAATGTACTTTTCATTTTTTAATACTTTAATTTAGGTTTTCTATTAAAGTAAAATTCTTTTTTAAATTATTGTCAAGTTTTTATAAAAAGAAAACTATTCGAATTATTGCCGACTAGCTGAGAATTAAATCTTGTTAATAAATGAAAAACATTCTACTGTTTAAAAGTTTTCGATTCAAAACAGCTGACTATCTACTAAGCATAATATGTTTTCGAAAAATGAAGATAAATTATTGATTATCTTCTTTCAATGTTTCTTGTGACTTCAATTTGGATTGTATAAAATGGCGTTGATATTTTATAAGTCA